GGGGGGGGGTGTGTGGGTGGGTACGGACCCATCCTCCACATGCCCCACCCCCCCAATGGTGCCCAGCCCCACTGCCAGTGCCAGCAGCAGATGACAAGCCCTTGGGTTGCTTATGGCCTGTGGCAGGCAGAGCCCTCTGGTGGCATGTGGCTCTGGCTGAGTCCCAGGAGCTGCACATGGTGGCATGGAGCCTGGCTGGCCCACTCGCACATGCCTTCAAACCAAACCAGGCTGCTTCCAGCACTACAGGTGGGAGCTGTGTGCAGTCGGGCCAGGCAGGCTCCATGCCTCCACGTGGGGCTTCCAACACTCCAGTGGGGCAGCTGCAGGCCAGTAATAATTGCTTTTTGGAAGTGCCCTGCAGGTCAGATAGAATAGCCTGGTGGGCTAGATTTTGCCTGCCCATGGTGTAGAGCTTGTCCACTGATCACTTTTTGCAGCAGCTGGAAACTATTGTGGTGCTGGCCACAAAAAGTGAACCCAAAGAACCTGTTTATTCTGTGTTGTCAGTGCTCCCTCTATTGGCACAAACACAGAGTGGAAGGAGCACCTTTAATGCAAGATGGTACAGAAAAGAGGGTCAGGCTTGGAGATTGAGAGTAGAATAGAGAAGGGTAGGGACGGCCTGTGGATAAAAGCAAAGGCACATTGGGATAGAAGGGAACAGGCACTATGAGACAATTGGAGGCATAGAAAGAAATGCAATCTGGTGAACACTGGGTAAAAGGGTTAGTAACCATGAGACCATGTTAACTTTATTTCCCTGCTGGCAACAAGTGGCTGTGACATCCACTGTCACTTAGGTTAAGAAGCAGAGGTATGTGTTATGGATCTAAATGTTTTTAAACCTGCCGGTGATCTAGGTCCATTAAAGTTGTCCATAATTTAATCTTTCAGTACACTCTTTAAAAATGTAACTTAAGAAATTATATACAAGAAAACTACATTGAAGAACATTAAGGTTGCAAAGTAAAAGACTCAAATGTTAAGAAATACTGGAATGAAGGTTGTACATGTAATGCTAATATAACCACCTGCCCTGTGTGTACATTATAATACAGTCTTTAACTGGTGATCATCATGTATTGCTGTTTTCCACAAGACATTCTTTCTTAATTTTAATTCAGTGCACGAAACAGAAGGTGCTTATTGAATGGGAAGTTTATTTGGATTCTTCTAATTCAGTGTGGTCAAAACCCTGTTTGTTGCATTCTTATTTAAATCCTATGCTGAATACAGAATTATCAACTTCCTTATCTTTTGGGGTTATTGTTTAGCACTTGCCATAATATCCCCTCGGTTCACAAACATTAATGTATTTGTCTTTTCAACACTCCTTTGAGATAAGATAGTGTCAATATCACCATTTACAGGGTGAATCTCAGACCCAAAGACATCAAATTAAAAATTGTCAAGTCTCCACTAATTTCGAGTGCCCAATTTGAGATATTTAGGGCTTAATTTTTTCAGGTTTTTAGTTTTTTCATAGCAATTTATGGGTTCATGCATAGCTCCAATTTACTTCAATTACAGCTCTGAGCACTCAGCCAATATAGCCCCATATACCCCAAGTTGGGTGCCCAGAAAATGAGCAACATGGTTAAAACTTTGGTTTAAGTGACATGATCAGCACTGAAAGAGAACATTGAGGAAAAATATATCGAAAAGCTACCTTTAAGTGTGATCCATTCTGTGCACTGAATGAAGCTAAAGAGCTGTGAGAAAATTAGTATGCAGTAATATCATTAAAAACTGTCATAGTACATGTACTCAGCCTTCATTCTGATGTTCCCAGCTTCTGATTACTTGATCTTACAAGCATAACCTTTTTTTTTACCTATGTGTAAGTAATTATATGTCTAAAGTTAAGATACTGGGATCTCAGTTATTTTTAGAAGCTAATCAGTAAAGTGCTTATGTCTTGAATGTATTGTGTTAAAATGATGATGTACCAATTTAATAACTGTGTTTCAATTTAGATACAGCCTGACTGTTTGGACAGGAGAGCAAGATCAGTATTCCACAGAAGATCTGCTCCACATCAGAGAGAATTTTGATAAAAGTAGGGTTTATTATGATATTTTAGAACCACATAACTCTGAATTCAAGAAGGCCATAGGAATAGAAATCTAAATATAAAGAAAATATTGATTGTAAGATGCCTAGTAATTAGGCACTTTAACAGAAAGGTTTCTATCCAGGGCAATACAGTCCTATGAAAGGATTACATGGAGCACATTTATAAGTGTCATGCAACTTTCTGCTAAAATTTTATTAGACGGCTTTGCAACATAAAGAATAATACTTACCATTTTTTTCTTCAAGTCTGTGTACATGTGGATCTCTCTGACATGTGCCCTCTGTGCAGGAGTCCAGAACTGTGTCACTGCCAGTGTCTGTTAGGGCTCTGGGGTTTTAGGTTGTAGCTGTGTTGGTCTAAGGACATAGGCAGACAAGGTTCTTTGGGTAAATCCCATATCTTTTATCAGACCAACTCAAATTTTTGGAAAAATTCTTTGTAGCAAGCTTTCAGGTTTAAATACCTTTTGTTAGGCTGAGGAAGCATCTACAGTTAGTGTGTGCTCTTTCTGGATGGAATGAACAGTAAAAAAGCCAGAGGCTGGTATGCATGTATGACAGGCAGTCAGTGAAAATGTGAATTGAGGAGTCAGTGGGTGAGAGACAGGCGGGGGGCAGGAAGGGGAATGGGAATGAATGTAGCAGGTAAAATAGTAGAGAGGTACCTGGGGAGTCAGATGTCAGGCAGGTTATAGTGCATCATAAGTCCAATGTGTATATTTAGTCCATGATTCTTTGTATCCAGGAGGTTGCTGAATAGCAGTTCATAGGCCCATTTGTGAAAGGTGTTTTATAAATTCCCTTTGAGGATTAGAACTGAGAGATTGGAGAGAGAGTGGTTTTCTTGTGACACATGTGCCCCCACAAGTAACTGGGTGTTCTTGTTCTTAATAGATTTCCGGTGTGTGTTCATTCTGGTGCACAGTTGTTGTTTGGTCTCTCCTATGTATTTTCCAGCAGGGCATTTGGTGTACTGGATTAGATATATTACATTTCTGAAGGTGCAGCTGTAAGATCCAGGAATGCTGATGGCTCTGTTGCGGGGTGTAGTAATTGTGGGGGTGGTGGAGATGTGTTGACAGGTTTTGCATTTCTTGTCATGGCATGGTCTGGATCCATTTGGTGTGTTCTGGGCCTGAGGAAGTTTGCTTCTGGTGATAGGGTTATCAAGGTTTGGTGCTTGTTTGAAGGCTAGGATGGGTGGCTCTGGGAAGATCTCTTTAAGAATTGGGTCTCCTTCTAGTGGGTTGTAATTGTTTGAGGATTTTCCGTATAGGTTCAAGGGAGGGGTGTAATGTTATAACCAGTGGTGTGCGATTCATGGGGGTTTTCCTTCTGTACTGCAGCTATTCTTCACATGGTATTGGGTGGCTCTTTCAAATGTGTGGTCTGTCTCTCTGGAAGAGTGTCCTTGTTGAGTGAAAGCCTTTTTGAGATTTGTGAGGTGGCAATCCCAGGACCTCTCCACTATTTTACCTGCTACCTTAATTCTCTCCCCCCCACCTCTCTCACCAACTGACTCCTCAATTTATATCTTCACTGACTACCAGTCTCGCATGCATACCAGCCCACCTCTGGCTTCTTTATTGTTTATTCCATCCAGGAAGAGCACACACCAACTGCAGAGGCTTCCTCAGCCTGATGAAGGGTGTTTAAACCCAAAAGCTTGCTAAGAAGAATTTTTCCAATTTATTTGAGTTGGTCTAATAAAAGATATCAGATTTACCCAAAGAACCTTGTCTGCCATTAGGGCCCTGCAGATTCTTTGGTGGTGTGGGCTTGCCTCTATGGCCTGCTGCTACACAGTTTGTTTGGCCTACTGTTCTGATGCCTCTGGTAGGGCCCTCACTCCTTGATGACCTGTAGCCATTTGACTACTCTGCCCAGCCAGCCTCATTGCATAACTCTGCAGCTGGACAGAGCCCAAAATTCCTAGCCTCCTGCCCTTAAAGGGGCAGCCTCCTTAGTGAAGTTACAAATCCTTACACAGGTGTAACCTTTAATCCAGCTGCCATCCAAACACAAAAACTCCCAACTGAGTATGGTGCTGCTTTATATATGAGAGAGTTCTGTTTTGGCTCAGGATAAGATATTAAAACTGAAGTCTAAATATAACAAAGATATGTGTGTGAACCTTGTCATCCAGGCAAGACGATACAAATCATAACCTAGTGAGTTTGTAGATGTGTTAAAGGGACATATGTATAACGTGTTTGATACAGACTTCCAGAGAAACTCCCAAAATAAATAAAAACAAAAATCCAAAATAAAATGCAACAACCAAACTGACAAAAGAAAAAAAATCCCAATACCTTAGCGCATTTTCATTGATATCTTAGCTTCCAAAAAGGGCAAGTTTCATAATCCACATTTAATAAATAGAGAAACTGAAAAACAACATGACTTGCTAGATCATTCAGTGAATCAGAAATGAAGTTAGGGCAAGAACCAGACTTTATGACTCCTGATTTCATGTTTTTAACAATGGACCATGTTGGAGACTGAAGCTGAGGAAACCCAATGAAGTAATAATATAATTATCTGCTTCTGTAGAAAGTTTTTTACAGTGTTTCAGGCAAATGTGAATTCGTGCAAGAAGAATGGTTTATGTATTTACAACTGTATAGGGGGTTCTCACTAGTGAAGTTCAGTCCATTGGTGACTTGATCAGTTCACAGAGGTCAAAACAAGAGAACAGGAGTTCTAAAAAATTGTCAGCAAACTCTGAAAGAGTTTAGATGATCTAAGAATTACAGGATCAGATACTAGCTCAGTTTGCCTTATTATCATGTGTTATAAGGGGAAAGAATACTCACCCCGGCACCTTTATGCCCCAACATGGAAACAAGGAGAGCCATAGGGCACATTAGTGGTCCCAACAGAAACTAGTCTTGACAGTCTCACAAGCATGTGGATGATGTGAGCTACATTGATACATACTCAAAGAAAAGTCTTAATTTTTATTTCAGAGTTTAAACATTTATCACATTATGCCCATCATCTAACAACAGATTATAGTGATTCTGCTTATTAAAAGGTGATTTTGTGCCCTGCAGCCTTTAGCTAACACTGAACAGACATGCCCTCAGTGGCTTTCAAGTGAGCTAAGACTTTTCAGAAGTCATAGGTTGTTAATTCTCTCATTTGGGACATGATTAGCGTGACACAAAAATAAAAAATGTTACTGAACTCAAGAGCTGTTCTTTGAGGTGTGGTGTGCACATTGATCCTCTTCATGAGGCACGTGACCCTTCATAGAGGAATTTCGAATGTTTTCACCAGATGTTGCTTTGGAGCCACGCTCTGTGCATGCCTCTGCTTCTTCTCCTAAAGGGAGAGCAGCCCCAACCACAACTCAATTCCTTCATCACCCAAATGACTGGACTTTGAGCTGCAGGGAAAGAGAATGATCTTGGGATCCACATGTATGAAATATTTTGAAAAAAGTCATGGTTATCTTAAGTAATCCTGATTTTTTTGGGTGTCTGCAAGTAGATCTCACACACGGTATTTTGCTACTGTGATAGGCTCATGCTGGACGCAACTACCAATGGGCCTCCTTGGGTCATGTTGCACTTGGCCTAGTTGCCCACCATGACTTGTTGTTCACCCAGGGTGTACCTTTGCTTGCCTGGAGGTGATGATCAGAGGTTCCCTGCAGGTTGAGGACCCTTGTTGTGCTTCCTCAGCTTACCTCAGTGTTTCTCAACTGGGGTGCTGGTGTCACCATGGCAGCCAGGTAGACCTGCGCTGCGGGCTCTTGCTGGAGCCCTTCCCCGTGCTTGTCCTGGAAACAAAGGTGAACAGGGTAACTTAATTTGCCTCATGTACCTCTATTTCCAGGAGGAGTGGGGGGCAGACGGGTGTCAGATTGGGAAGAGCTGTGGCATTCCTGCCTGCGTTAGGATTATATGGTGATATATGAGCTATGTGGGGCCGTGGCAGTGCCCACACCTTGGCATCCCTGAAAGGGTCTTATGGCAATCTCTATAACAGTGGTTCTTAGGTTGATTAGGATGGTACTAGATCTCTTCTGCTGTACTTCTGGCCATGGCCTTTTTCCCTTTGTGAATCATCTGTTCTATGTACCTGACGTTCTGTCTACTTTGTGTGGATCACTTTGCATACTATGCCACTGTGGAATATTTTTCTTGTACCGTAATGCTGTGCACCTACTTCATGATTTTGCCAGGATCCTAAGATTAATTTATCCTCAATTTGTAGACTCATTAGGTAGAATTCTAACTTATTTGAGGGAGTTTTTTCCATTGACTTTAATGGAGTCCGATTTCAGCCATGCTTTATGAGTTTAGTGATTCCAGGTAAAACTTGAAGATGTGTACATGAACTGATTTGAAAATGTCTATTTATATATTTTAATGCACTTATTACAAATGCACAGTTTTTGCCTTCACATTTTTATATGAATTCCATGGACCTTGCACAATAGATGATGCAACCTCTTGCAGTGTAGAATTAGTATACTTAATGTATTATAACCACTCAAACATTAAACATCCTTCACTAAGATAAGTGCATTATAATTCAAACAAAACAGAAATTAATTTTTTGGGCTTGCCATTGCTTTAAATTATATTATCAAAGGAAATACTCCAAAAACTGTATTTAAAAAAGTATTCCCTTTAATCTTCAAAATTCAGCTGCTGAATTTTTTTTTAGAGTTAAGGAAAACAAAAAAGCCCCATAGTCTCTAAAGATGTTTTTTTTTATGATTTTTATAATAATTTTTGTTGTCTTTAATCACCCAGGTGTCTGTGATCACAGACCTTTTGTTAATATTGTAATAGATTTACTTCTGTACTTCACTTTCCATTAAACCTGTTTGATGTTATCTCAAGTTCATACACCATAAAGCTTTCGTTTATGATTTTTATTGTGGTGTGTTTGGAGACAGGAGAATTTGATTCCAGCACCTGGTGCGTGTTATCTGTTTCATATAAACAACAACTGTGTAACAGTAGGCCGTATTTGAACCATACCTGTTCCTTTATGTAATCTCAGGTTTACATAATAACTTCTCTCAGTCACAGGATATATACCATCTATTTTTGAAACCTACCAAAAGGAATTTATCTTCTGAGTAACTGCAAAGAAAGAGGTAGTTAATTAGATAGGAAGTCTAGGATTAAGTTAATAACTTTGTGGTAAACTAACTGGCATTATTCCTTTAGTTGCTCCAGCATTGACATTTTTATTATGCACACTTGTTTTCTCAATAGAGATATGTCAAGATCAAGTCAAAAGGTGTTTTAAAAGTGCTATTAGCTAACATTTTGAGACCACGGAATAGATAGCTCAAGTTTATAGTTTTACTTGTGCTAGCTGGTTGGGATGAAAATATACAGCACTATCTAAGCTAGCTTTTTAATAAGCTTGTTAGTTAAACCAAATT